GGTGGGTTGGGTGGGTGGTGTGGGTGGGTGGGTGGGTGGGTGGGTGGGTGGGTGTGTGGTTGTGAGTGGGTGCGTGTTATGTGCGAGGGTGTGTGGGTGGGTGGGGATATGGGTGGGTAGGCGTAGGGTGCGTGTGGTGTTGGCGTTGGTGTGCGGTGGCGGGGCCTGCGTGGGTGCGTGGGGGCGTGGGTGCGTGGGTGCGTGGGTGCGTGGGTGCGTGGGTGCGTGGGTGCGTGGGTGCGTGGGTGCGTGGGTGCGTGGGTGCGTGGGTGCGTGGGTGTGTGGGTGCGTGGGTGTGTGGGTGTGTGGGTGTGTGGGTGTGTGGGTGTGTGGGTGTGTGGGTGTGTGGGTGTGTGGGTGTGTGGGTGTGTGGGTGTGTGGGTGTGTGGGTGTGTGGGTGTGTGGGTGTGTGGGTGTGTGGGTGTGTGGGTGTGTGGGTGAGTGGGTGCGTGGGTGCGTGGGTGCGTGGGTGCGTGGGTGCGTGGGTGCGTGGGTGCGTGGGTGCGTGGGTGCGTGGGTGCGTGGGTGCGTGGGTGCGGGGGTGCGTGGGTGCGTGGGTGCGTGGGTGCGTGGGTGCGTGGGTGCGTGGGTGCGTGGGTGCGTGGGTGCGTGGGTGCGTGGGTGGGTGGGTGGGTGCGTGCGTGCGTGCGTGCGTGCGTGCGTGCGTGCGTGCGTGCGTGCGTGCGTGCGTGCGTGCGTGCGTGCGTGCGTGCGGGGGTGGGTGGGTGGGTGGGTGGGTGGGTGGGTGGGTGGGTGGGTGGGTGGGTGGGTGGGTGGGTGGGTGGGTGGGTGGGTGGGTGGGTGGGTGGGTGGGTGGGTGGGTGGGTGGGTGGGTGGGTGGGTGGGTGGGTGGGTGGGTGGGTGGGTGGGTGGGTGGGTGGGTGGGTGGGTGTAGTGGTGCCACATTGACGCAAAGAATGGCTTTTTGCACGTTGTTCGCCCTAAGGCCAGTGGACTCTGAGAACAACTGGTTCTCCTTTGTTGGGGAACGGCAAATCAAATCAGCAATGCCAGATCTTAGGTGGATCTTCTCTGTCAACGGCTCCCAGGTCCGGAAAAGTATAATTCAAGAAATTCAAGGTCACGGCGCCGCAAAAACTGCCAAACACAAAATCGGCCGGCAAACGCCCAAGCGCCAAGCAACAAGTTGCAGTGCAAAACTCCAGTGCAGAAAGACCCAAAAAGGTCTCAAACAACTGTGTGCCCCCTCTGACTACAGAGTATGCCAAGAGAGTACTAATTCCTTTGCCCAATCGTTTTCAATAAATGATTCCTGCAGCTGGCTTCTTTGACTCATGGACCTCAGATTCTGCTACTTGCCTCACCCAACAGCTGAAGCTGAAGAGGCAGACACACCTCTGGAGCCAGAACCCAGGCCCCTAGGCCCAAACTGTGGCGAGCCGCAGCAGAGCTGATACTGCCGTTGAAGTTCTTGAGAGCGCTGTCGATTCGGGAGACAATCTTATCGAGATTCGCAGTTCTGCCCAGCAGTACGTTTTCCACCTTCCGCGTGATGTTCTGCTCCCTCTCCATCTCCTCCATCCTCACGCCGTTCAGCAGCGAGACCACTATGGGGGCAGCTTCCCAATTTCAACAAAACAACCTCCAATAGCAACAACTTCAGGAGCAGTGCTATGGCTCTTCACACAATTGTGAATCAAGAGGCCAAGAGTCACAATAGGAGGAATATTCAAAAAGGGAAGGCTGGCAGCGCATGTCTGCAAAAGCATGGGGCAACCGTCAGTCACCTTCATCCGCCAAATAACATGGGTATAAGTCAAAACCCAACCACCAGGGGACCGCAGGTTTTAGTCCTTATTTCTACTTCCCAGGGCAAGCCATTTTGGGTACATGTTTTTGCCCACAGCCACATGTGTTTGGCAGGTGTTTTTCAACTCTCATTGCGGTCGGGCTGCGAGGAGCTCAAATCGTCCACCTCGTACTTCATATGGGCCTGTCTCGCTTTCAGAAGGTTGGTCGCGTTCTTCGACCTCTCGGCCCCCTCTTCCGCTGCATCTGCAGCTCGTTCCTGGGAGCGATTTCAGGCCAGGACTGACACGCACATATGAGTTTTGGAAGATTCATGCACCCCTGGTTGATTGTTTGGGGCGTTCCTTTTATATAGTGGGAATCCTTCACTTGAGGCATAGGACGGGTTGAATCCGGGGTCAATGCAAGCAAGTATCCGCTTGCACTGCTGCAGTGCCGAACTCGATGACTTTGCCTTCGATGTCCTTGATCACCTTGGAACAGTCTCTGCGAAGTTTTAGGGAGGGGGGGATGGAAACAACGAACGAAACTGGGATGTCCGTTTTCAGATCCCCCGCCAAAAGTTTAAATTTTAGTGGCTTAAATGGAAATATTCACTAAACACTAAACAGCTAAAAGCCTAAAGGGGATGCCTAAGGGGATGGCTGGGAACCAACAAGGAAACCATGGAACGCCGTGAGCCGCGCTCCCTCCGCGTTGTGCTGCCGTGCTTCCACACCTGCGGGAAACACGCAAAAAGCACCTGGATCGCCAGTTGCTGTTTTCTTCCATGCACTTTAACCAGCAACAGTGACTGAAAAAGCAGCGACTTGGCTATCTAGGCACCCCTTGAATATCGAAAAACCGGCCTTCCAGCTCGGCGACCACCCGCATCTGGGTCATGTTGGAGATGTTCTTGGCCTCAGCGAGAAGAGTTCAAACTTGGGGGGCCAAATAGAAGCTGACTTGAGGGATTGCCATGGGGATGTCCAGGGACATCCAAATTCGGGATATTCCTGATATAAAACCCTGATAAATCATAGCCATTTGCCAATGTCAACAGGGAAGTCCTGCAGATTCAGGGCCCACGAAAATGTGCAATCCCTTGGTTTCTCTCCAGACGCAAGGAATGAGCGCCACGCTTCTTCGATGGAATCTCTCACCTCGGACTTCATGTCTTTCACGTCTCCTGCGGCAAAGGAGATCACTTCTCACGACCCTGTGCCGGAGACGTGGAGACGTGCCAGTCCTCGGACTTCGCCCAACTCCTGCCAGGAAAGCAAACAGTGACTCGGTTGCTTTCTGCCCCCCTGCTAAAAGTGACTAACTTTTAGTGGTTTAATAGTGGTTTAGTACGGAAAACCCATTAGTTGGCAAAAAGTTGAAGTCCTAACATCCAAGCAAAATGCGCCAAAGGTGAACTGAAACTCGGGCAAATCCTTCTCTGCTGTTGCCATGTTCATCCTGTTTAGTAGCTGCCACGTGGTTGTCGGCATCGTGAATGCTTTGCGCTGACCTACATCAAATCGGTTTATCTGCTGACATCCAAGTTGGCACCACTCACAGCGCGGGATTTCTGCCTCTCTCACAAGGCCTAGGCCGGACAAAGATTGCTTAGACAAGCAAACTGCTTCTCAGGCCAAAAAAGAACCTTTCCGGCGAAGCTCCAAAAACTGCGTCACAGGTTCTGACTGTATGTTTGCCTTGGGAACTGGCAGGAGGCCGCAAAAAGAAACCTAGGTGTCGCGGGCTGGTGCCAGGGCCGCTGGGGAAGCAAGCGCAGCTCACTGCGTCCTTCTGATACTTCTCATTCTCGGTCGCCTTTTCTTCCAGCTCACGGATCTTTTCGTCCGCTGCGTGCAGCTGGGAATCCTGGACGCGTCCATCTCACGAGACAGATCCAACATATGCGCCGAGTAGAGTTTGGGACATGGAGGAAATCCTCCGAGTGAAGCAAAAACGGCAGGATGTCTCAAGAGGACAAAGCTTTTCCTGTCTTTCTTCAACAGGCACCAATGGCCAGCATCATTCCAAAGAGTGTGATTGTGCCAGTAAACGCCTTCCGCATGCTTCCCTTACAGGCCTTTCAAAATTGCTCACAATGATCGCCGATTCAAAGCACTTCTGTTTTCAGCTCTTTTCGAACACAAGGTACTAACTTTCAGCTCAAATTCAGACTCCCCGACTAGACCAACAAAAAGCAACGTTCAGAAGCCAAGGAACCGGACGATTCGCTGCGATCGAACCGCCCAGACCGGCCCCTGAAGACACACACGGAACCGCCTCGCCTGGGCAGCCACCAGTGCCGACGCCTTGGTGGCCTCAGCGAGCGGCCTACGAATTGCCACGGCTCCCCTGTTTCGTGTCTTTTTGTTGGTTTTAAAGGAAACCAAAAGGAAACCAAAAACCAAAAGGAAACCCACCACCCCCAGTCGCTTCCCGCAAAGCCGAGTGACGGCTGCTTCAGCCACCTTGGCAACCTCCATCACGTTGGAGAGCCGCTCTTCCAAGCCCGTGATCTCCGCCTGAACGAGGAGAACAAGCTTACCCTCCTGAGCATAGGTGTCCTTTTAGGGGAAATACATGGCCCTGGTGGATGATTAAACCACCAGGTAGACCAGGACCGTCTATTTCTACCAAAACAACCAAAAAGGACACCTATGCTCCTCAAATATCCTGCCACCAAGTAACATGGAACCTGACGTTCGGGGGGGCGGGGGTCCTGGTTTGGACCATGGTCCTTTCAAAGGGACCGTTTCGCAGACGTAGAGCGGTTCCATGCCAATTGGTGGGAGGGTGAATCTTGTCTTTCCACACAAACAACATCAAACACCCCCATTCCATTCCTTTTTTGTTTGTTCTTGAAACCGTCTCCAAAAAGGCTCTCACTGCAAAGCCACCATTGCCTTCAGCCGGCCCTCCGCCGTGTCCGGCAATGGCTCGGGCGTGGAGGCGCGAGGACCCAGTTCCAGGCTGGCGCGCGCACCCGATTTCCCCTTCAAAGGATCCATCAGGCGGCAAAAAACCCGGGCTCTTGCACACGTTTTCAGCCCTGCTCCGCAAACTGACATGGCCATCCTTTTTCGGGAACCGCCGTTTCCCTCCCTTTTCTGGGATCCCGAGAGGAAAATCCTCCCCCGATCTCTCGGGCGGAAGCGCCTCTTGGATCCATTGTCCTGGGCTTCACCCTCTCGATGTGGGGAAGCCTTTTTTTGTTGGGGATCCCTCCAAACTTTCCTTTTGGCGGCCCTTTACAACCACAGACAACAGGCACCATCTGCAAAAAAAAATACATGTCTTGGATTCTGAAGGCCAAAGCCAGCCCAGCTGAAATTACTGACATGCAAGTGATGCAGAACACGATCGGCCAAAAGAAGACGAGCACCACCAGGAAAGTGACAGCCAGAAATAGCATGGGAGCTGCCAAATCGATTGCCACACCAACGAAAACTGGCAAAACGAGACAAAAGACACAACCCAACCCAAGACCGGCGGCCAACGGGAGCCTAACCAAAATAAGTCACACCAAAGAAAACTAGGAACACCTGCAAGACCACAACCCAAACCACAAACAGCAGTCTAGGACTTTAGGATAGCATGCTTGACAAAAGAAGAACACGAAAAAGAAAGCCGAGCCACCTGCCCAGGAAGAAAGTAAATGTTCTTGGGATGGCTTTCTAGACATGCGTCCAATATCGCTGAAAAACCCATGCCCAAAAATGCCTCAAAGTAAAACCCGCCGCAAGAACTTCACGGCGACCGAAGGCCGGGGCGCAAAGGCCACCGGGATCTCCAGCTTCTGCAAGTTCTGCTCGCTCAAGTCTTGGCTCGACACCAAGAACCTCAGACCCCGCGGGGGGGTAGACGACCAGCTGGGCAAACATGGGCCGTGTCTGTCAGTATATTAAAATATATACTTGTTTATATGCAATGAAATGTAAATGGCATGAGATGACATGAAACCAAATGAAATGAGCATGTTATGGTATGTTGAGCAATGGGGTGTAGCTGTATAAACGTTGGGAACCCTCGCAGTGGTTGCATTTATATCCCAAGATGATGGATGTCCATCTTCTGCATGCCAAGAGATACTAGCAGGGCATTTGTTGGTTTATGGTTGTAAAAGCTCCACTTCAGCCCGAATTTTTGCTTGTTTGTCCCTTCCAATTGTTTGGCCCTTCCAAGTAGTTTGCGTGCATTCTGTTTCCGTTTATATGGTTGTGGGTCAAGAATAGGCACCCAAAATGGCTTGCTCTGGTGAATGGACACATGGACTAAAACCCGCAGTCCCCCTGGTGGATTGAATTGAGGATTGACCCACACCCATATAAAGCCTTTCAAAAGGCATCTTGAAAATCTCTTCGTAGCCCGAATCACCGAGTCAAGGCACCGCGAGAGGCCTTCGTCCATGGCTTCGCCATAGATCCCTGCAGTCTCCTGCAACGCCACACGATCCGATGGGTAACTCTAATTGAGGACCTGACATCACACATGGGCTTGTCTCAAAGGGGAACCCTCCAAACGTGGCTTCCGTTTGGCCTCCCTTGACAAGCAACCGGGTTTCCGGGGAGCCTCGAAAACAAAAAACTAGCCTCCCCGTCTCTGTCCTGGCCCGAAGCCGTGCCCGCCTGGCCACAAACAACTTGGATGGCTGCCATCCCTGCGAATGCCGAAAGAAAAAAAAGAAGAAGAAACACTCGGGGGAACCCCCCGATCCGGAAGGCCTCCGCAAAAGCAGCGGAGGTCCTGGCGCCGAGATAAAACCAAGTCCCACCGGAACCTTCGAGGCCCTGATGTTTATCTATATATTTGTTGGCGCATATACGATCATGAAGACCGAGCCAACTTTGCCAGATTGCTTGAAGGTCGGGGCGCGCAAGACCCGGGAATTGTCCACACAAATCATGTGAAGGACGGATTTGTCCACGCGCGGTGCAACCGTTTGCGCTCAAGCACGCAAAGCGCCAGGTCCTGTCGGCTCGATCGGACCTTGCCACCTGCGCAAGCAACACATCTTGCCACATTACACGGCCAGCAAAAGCCGGCTCGTGTTCATGTCAAACGCTAGGTGAAGCTTGCCTCTCTGCGCACCAAAGGTGGGCTTCCAGTCACGTCAGCCTCAAGGCTGAAACGAAAAACGCGAGAGATATGGGCGAGACTCTTAAGGAGACCCCTTTTGGAGTAGTTTTGCACTAAAACAAAATAGACACAACCACTGGTTTCGTTTAAAAAGAAAAAGAAATGATTGCTCAAACATGTTCCATGGATACGTCAATCCCACTAAACAATCACGCAAAGAGAGTGCCTGTCAACCAGAAAGCCTCCGGTCATCAAATCCCGTTACTGACATCCGCAGTGTCTTGGTGAATATGGGTCTCTCTCAGGGCACTTTTATGAGACACATAGGGCCACAGCATCATCGCAGAAGCCACAATGGCTCAAAGCTGCAAGCAAGGCCTCGCGCAGCCGGGCTTGATTTTGAAACACCATCCTTTGTCTTCGGGTTATCTTCGTCGGGCAATAACGGCTTCGAGAATGCTGGATGCACAACAAGCTTTCGCCGAGAGACTAGTCTTCTCAGAGAACGCATCCTTGGCAGATTCAGATTCACGAAACTGTCACAACAAACCTGCGTAACCCTAGCTCTTGAATTTTGAGCCACACCCAAATCTGATGATCTGAATGCTTGCCAAGGTGCTGGCATATGGCGAGGGATGTCGATCCATGGATATTTTCTCTGACTACGAATAAATTTCTTGAGCATCAAACAAGGGGAGCAAAATCGGACGCGAGCAAGAACGTCCATGTGCCGCCCGCCAGAATGTCGATCCATGGGCATGCTCTTAAATTCCGAGACTCGACGCCCACATGCTTCAGCCAAATCTGTCAAAAACACCAGCACACAAACTGCAAATAAACAGGACAAAATACGTGCAAACACTCAAAAAATGTTTGGCTTCCAATCTGACTGAGGACTGCAGAAACCTTCAAGGTTTGCCCATGTATTTCGTGGTGGTGCAAGCATGTTCATCATCCCTGCGCGAGATGTTCAACCACGAACTACGGCGCGCTATAAATCCTAGCATCTGCCGTTGCCAGGAATTGGGCGGTTTCGTCAAGCCACTTGCCCACGTGCGAAGCATCCCCCAATGCTGTGATTGTGGCAACCGCGCTACAATGGGCATTCATCGTAAGCTCGTAAATGCCCAAAGTTCGTGGCAAAACCCCAAAAGTTGCAGTGGCACCCTTGACTAACTGTTCAAAACCTGAACAACAGGATTGGCCCGAAAGCATTTTTCCCAAGTGCTTTTCCAGCCACTGAAAAACACGTCGTCGACAGTGCAAAGGTGAAATGCCAAGGCAATCCAAGTTTGCTCATGCGGATCCTCAACTCCAGAGAGGAATCACGACATACTGGCACTCTGAAGAATTGCGGGGCGCAAAGCTTGTTGTTAACAGGTTTTGCTTAATGTTGCATGTGGAACCCACCAAACAACAAAAACAAACCAACAAACAAGTTGTTTTTCGGACAAAAAACAAAACCTGACGCCATAATTTTCGCAACTTGCGCAATAAATATTGGTGCTGCGGTTTTTCTCCCCGAGTAACTCTGTGCTGCTGACTTTGCGCAAGTTCCGCGCAAGTTTGCTCGGTGCAAGTGTTTCGTGCGAGTTGCGCAGCGCTTCTTGCGCAAGTGTCGAGCGAATGGCAGCTCTTTTCCTGTGGCAATTAGAGCCTCCGATTGCGGTGCATGTACATCATGCTTTGCATGCGGATATGACTGAACACTTGTCTCCCACTTGTAGTGGGGACATTTCTCGTGCGTTGCCCTATCTACCCAGGCCTTCATAGGCGCCAGCCTCGACTTCAAAGCGCACGAGCAAGTGCAGGTGCGCCGCGAAGCCTTGTGCTGTTCTGTTCGCCTTTCAAAACAAACTCTACCACTACAGAGTCTGTTATTTTGGAAGCCGGTTCTCGGCTTACTGGTGGCAACGCACTGGCGCCTTCTTGCTGCGAAAGTGCCCAGGAAATGTTGCGCTGGTTGCGCTCTTCTTCTGTGCTATCGCAGCACCAATGTCCTGGAAAAAAGCACAGTTCCAGAATCGCCTTGTGTGGTGTTCCACGATTCCACACAGCTCATGTCAGGCAAGCCAAACTAGCAGGCTTAGTCGAAGCACTGCTGTCACAAAAGCAAGGCTCAGAAGCAGTGCATTGGCCTTCTCATCGCGACAAGCATCGCGCTGCGTCTCAGGTCGTGGCTCGCGCCTTTATATGATACGCAGGCCTTAATAGCTGTCCAGGTTCGATGCTCTCCATACCTGGTTGGCATTTCAAGCCTGCTTGAGCCGTGACCTCCAAACCCCGCATAGCCTGCCAGGCCTTTGGATCTTAGAGGGATCCAAGCTCTTAGAAGTCAATGGCCGGTCGAGGGAAATCACGGCAATGCCCCACGGACACCAACTGGGTCAAGATGCCGTCGAGGAACACCTGGAAGCTCGTGATGCTCTTCCTTAAGTTTTGCTCCCCCGCATAGTCAGTGACAACCTTCATAAGGTGAACTTTCTTCACCTCAATCTTCTGCATTTCTCTTATGTCCAGCAGGACTTTCCGCATCTGCTGCTCTTGATGATCCGTAGAACTCCGTGCCGAGCAGGTAGCTTGCCAAATGCTCTGCGTGCCTTCATGCCGTCTTTGTAGGCTTTGACATCCACGCGAGCATTGATGGCAAACTGGCAATTAGCCGCTCACCTTGAATGTAGAGCATCTTCCCCACGATCGACCTAAGTTCCGAACTGATGTTTCGAACTTCATCAGAGTTGGCTATCACGTCGTCCTCCATGCCAAACTCTTTCTGAAGTGGATACACCACCTGTTAGCAGCTGTCCGCTGTCCTGGCAGACATCCAACCAACTTGTACCTCTTCCCTTGTAGGTCACCGATGCCTCTCTTTCTCTGGCTGGGAACCATCAAAACGCGTTCTTAACGTCGATAACCTGCACGCTGTAGTACTGTGGGCAACATGCCAGGTGTAGCAGCATCCGCGGAATTGCCATTACCAATGTGCGGCAAATAAGTCCTCCGCCCCGCTCTAAACCAGCCTTCGTCAGCCGGCAGGCACGCGAGCTGCTCTACAGCGTTCCTGCTGCGCTGTGCGACAAGATCGCACGTGCGGCCACGGCAGAGCTTGCGGAGCTGAGCATTCGGACTAGGCTCTTTCTCCTCTCTTTCTTCCACGTAATGGTGATGTCGCTGTAGTCGTTCTTCATGTGGCCGTCAAGGCAGCTCCTTCAGCCTTGCGATTTCTTCTTCCCCGCTTTCTCATCCATTCTTGGGTCTCCTCCTAACCTTATGGAGGGCAGAGTAAGAAGCCAGAAAAGCATCTTACTAAGAGCAAGTACGTGGCCATGGTCTTTGTGCAGTGAAGGACTTTTTCTTTGGCATGTGTGGTCCTTTATCAGAGGCCACACACCATTCTTGGGCGCAGGTCAGACAGCAGCGCGGCCCGTGGAATGCGCAGCCAAGTTGGGATTGGCAACCCGACACGCAGTCATGTGGCTGCAGCAGAAATGCCACGAGAAGGTGACGGCCATTCCGACGAGTATTAACAGCGCCTGGCGCAGTGGCTGTGGAGTTTCTTCATCAAGAACATTCAGAAGAAGATCATCATCTCTGGCAAGGCAACGTTTTAGAAGGCCAACGACAGCGAGCCGGAGGTAAGTGCACGTAGCGACATTAGGAAGAGGGCCAGTCCGAATGTTGCCAACCAGGTCTGATGCCATTGCAAGGCTGAGGCGTTCTGCTGGCAGGTAGCATCGCGTGTTGGCTTGGCACACTGCGCTGTCCAGGACAAGGCGTGGTTCCTTGCCTTCTGCAAAGACCACGTTCAATTTTCCTTCGGCGCTCTGGCAGGGGACCCCCTCTTGCAGAAACTGCAACAAGGGCACGTCAGGGTCACCCAGGTGCAATCGGAACGGCTGGCCTGGCTCTGGGTCAAGGCATAGGCGTGAAGGCAGGGGAGTATGAAGGAAGTTCAACCGGTCCGCGGAGAAAGAGCGCCCCACTTCCACTGAGTTTTGTGGTCTTTTTGGAGCGTATGGTGGATGAACGCTCGGGAACCAGAATCTGATCGATCGCCGAATGCCCTTAAGTTGCTTTGGACCGAAGCCGCGGAGCCGGCCTCGCTTTTGGACCGAAGCAGTAGTGAGGAACACAGGCCTACACCACCCTAATTATTTTGTTTTTTTACCGAAAAACCCTGCAAAACAGCCAAATTCTCCATTCTGCTGACGTTTTTCCAATGTCACCGGTCGATGTCACCCCATGTCCAGCTGCGCGATCTCCTCCACGACCAGCCAGTCCAGCTTTTGCGCGCTGCCGCCGCGCACGCACCTGCGCACCCAGTGGTCGGCCGTCTGCGTGCCCAGGCCCAGGTTCTGGTCTGGGGTTCTCTAAAAATGTTAATCAGGGTCTGGCTAGGGTGCAATGCAAGGAACGATGAAGAGCCGATACATCCTGACATAAACGGCCTGATCAATAATACGGTTAGCCGTGTTTGGCAATCCAAGCGGGCGAAAGTTGTCTGCATATGGCCCAGCATAGCTTTAGGGATGAAAACGAGGGCCTGCACGGACTTGCAGGTTAATGTATTTACAAAGGCGTTGGTTGAGTACCCGCGCGGCAATGATGGGCGCTGCACGGTATGCGGCATATGGTAGCCCATCAAGACCGGGTGCGCTGTCAGGGCAAGCAATCGGCTGGCTTCATATGCATTGAGTAAGACTGAGCCATTGCACGGGGCAACAGGTACTGATTGTTAGTGCGCAAAGAGGATAACGAGACAGGGAAGAAGACAATGGCACATAAACTTTGCATAATTTGAAAAGGCTCTCTCTTTAGAGGGGGTTTCCCAAATGGATTCTATTCTACCTGAGAGGCTCCTGGCACTCGTCCGTCCAGGAAATGACCTCGTCCTGCGAAGGATTCGAAGTCTAAAACGCTGCGTGCAGGCGTGTGGCTGCAAAATAATGACCCCTAGATATGCTTGCAAAATGCCCAGCAGCTGCGTTTCTGCAAGGCGAGCTAAAAAAAACAGGGAAAAAAAAGAAAGCCAAGCCAAACCAGCCAGAAAGCCAGCCAGGAGCCAAGCCAAACCAGCCAGAAAGCCAGCCAGGAGCCAAGCCAAACCAGCCAGAAAGCCAGCCAGAAGCCAAACCAAACCAGCCAGGCCAGCCAAAGCCAAGCCAAACCAGCCAGAAGCCAAGCCAAGCCAAACCAGCCAGAAAAGCCAGGAGCCAGCCAGAAAGCCAGCCAGCCAGCCAAGCCAAGCCAAGCCAGCCAGCCAGAAGCCAACCAAAAAGCCAGCCAGGGTTTCCTTTGAGGGCGCTCGCCTTGCAGAAACAAAGGCAGCTGCTGGGCATTTTGCCAAACCGCATATCTAGGGGTCATTATTTTGCAGCCACACGCCTGCACGCAGCGTTTTAGACTTCGAATCCTTCGCAGGACGAGGTCATTTCCTGGACGGACGAGTGCCAGGAGCCTCTCAGGTAGAATAGAATCCATTTGGGAAACCCCCTCTAAAGAGAGAGGTGCTATGTTCTGTGTTCGCGCTTTCGCGCGGCGCAGTCTGCAGCTGTCGCTGCAGTTCGCGCAGTTTGCTGCTCCGGGCTGCGCATTATGGATCCAATGTTGCGCCATTGTTGCTTCAAGGCGATTCATTATTGTCTCAACAATGCCTCTTCTTCTTTTCCTATGAGTTTCCTAT